GTGTCCTTAGAATGCAAAAGCAAAACAACCAGTTTTTTTCAGCACAAGAACAAAAGGCAGAAGGATAAATCACCTAGCTGCCACTTAGCTGGTTAAAATTTGTAACCAGCCCAAATGTACTGGCAATTCTTTCTTCAGAAAAGCATTAAATCTTCTCAGAAAACCTACCTTTAAATAACAAGGTTTGTTCATGACCCTAAGTGTTACATAGCTTCTTCTGTCTCCTTTTAAGATGTTATTTCTCTATTAACATTACATGGAACAGCAACAAACATGTAAACAGGAAAATATGCACAAAGCAGATTTGGGCCAACCTATAATCTTTTCTGCTTGCTGGAAATACCCAAGGTATGATATAAGATGCATCACCAGTCACATCTCATCATTCCAGCAGCATACACACTGTTCAAATAACTCAAAGTGTCTAGACATACAAGTGATCACATATTTAAGTTTTAGAAAGCATCTGAAAAGGAAGTAGCACCAAGGGAATTGATCATCTTTATTATGCAACAAAAAGACAAATAGAAAATAAAATACTTTAACAGGAAAAAAACCAGAAGGTACAATTCAAACATAACATATTGAAATGATACATAATGCAACATGAACATGAAAACATTGTTAAGAAGCAATCTTCTAGTAAAGATTTCAGGTTTTGGGCATCACCCATCACAAATACACAGCTTTTTGCGCGTGTCTGAGTTTCAGTGAGAAAGATCATGACCAGCAGCAACATATTCAAATAATTTTTCATTAAACATTAACCTAGTGAATGTATTGGATGCAATCTCTTAATATTAAAAAGTACAAAATCTTAAGCAAGGCAGCACCTGCCAATACAGATTTTAAATAAAGAGGATAAACATTTTGAAAGATTTTTTTGTATTGCATTAATACACACTTGTTGCTTTAAAATGTGTATTCAAGTCTCTCAACATTTAAACATGACTAAAATTCTCAGCAACTATGAATCAAGAGACAACTAATTATTGCTTTAGAAAAAATTGTTTCCCAGAGTTTTAAAACAGATGTCATTTCACTTGCAATTCCCAAGACATATTCAAGTAATAGAAATAACTAGTTCCAGCGTCCATGAGGATTCAGAATCTGTATTGGCTGTAGGCATTTATTGCCAGATCATATAAACATTTTGTTGAATCTAAAAAAGTTAACTAGACTTACATCTAACTGTTAAACTCCTTAGGAAATGTATGCAGTAATAAATCACCACAGTATGTGGTTTTATTTTAAAAACGTAAAATTTCATCATCAGGTATCTTGACATTCTTTTCTGTAAAAGGGCACTGTTTAATAGATGGCTTTACTGAGCAAAAGTAAAAATTTACTTTTTTTTTTCCTGTTGGCTCAGTGAGCCACTCCAAAACAGTATGTGGTCACACAAGCACCAGAGCTGACAGACAAGTGAGAATATACAGATATATATGGGAGCAAAAACGGAAATTGGAATACAATTTCCAAGTGTGGTCTGCTGTCAAAATACTGTAGTGAAATAGTAACAAAATGCAAAAAATGTAGTTATAAAAGAGATGTAAGCTTCAGACAAAGTTTTTGAAATAGGCAGCTATTTCTGAAATAGACAACTTTCTCTGAATTTTAGCCAGCAATACCTTCAGTAATATTTTACACTCAAAAAAAATTTAAGATAGAAAAGGCAAGATAAAATGCATAGTGGGTTAGTTCCAACACTCAAAATAGAAGTTTCAGTTCTGAAATACATTACATTGTAAAATGAGGCATTTCAACCTTATCACTTTTGGAACATGAAATATTTCAGCATTTAAAGAATAATCAAAATCTCTGTTTGGAAAGAAAAAGGTAGGCAGGCCACAAGCAGTAGACTGTACTTTGGCTGCACAACTGATACTACAAAATAGAAATCACCATCTAGGCAAAAAAATTACTGGGGATGTTTTCCACCGCATATGCAATGCTCATTAATAACAATAACTTGACAAGGGGTGATGGAAACACATAATGCAGTCCGCCCTAACAGGTGTATGTTCAGCACACTATTTAAAACATCAAAATGTATGCTGTGCAGTGTGAGTCTCAGATTCGGTCAAAGAGAGAAATGAGAGTTTCTAGCCAGGCAGAAGCCTGGGAAAGAGCTGGAGAAGAATGCAAATAATTCTCTCTCTTGTTACTCACATTGTTTATAGTTAAGTTCTATCACTGTGGGTCAAGCACTCTGCACCAAAGGTGTGGGTTGTTTTCACTTCAGGACCAATGGAGTTGTTCCTCACAAAGCTCTGTATAAAAGAGCAGTGTATTTTGAATAAACCGGAGTTTTACTCTCAGCAGCCTTCTGGTCAGAGTCTCTCCATTCCCGTCCTGCCTCAACAGCGACAGTGCATCCTTCTCTCACCTTCTCCCTTTTAGTATTATATAAAAGATCCTAAAGTTTTTATGACTGGATTTTCCATTTAAATTCAAAATTGCATTATTACTATTTTCTCCAAATTTAATTATGTTCTTGCTGGGAAGGTGGAAATCTAGAACAGGAACTCTTAAAATATGTTGGTCACTATTTTAAAGTAAGTGTTTTCTTCTCAACAGTTTTTTGAAGCCTTCAGATGCAAGAGATGTACAAGTTTTAAACAGCTTTACAAAAATAAAAAGTTTTTCTAGTGTGAAACTGGTTTAGTTATTTAGCAACACAACCTTCCATGAAAGACAGGACAGACCAAAACTTCAATTCCAAATGCAAAACTAGTAGTTCTTAAAAAGCTCCAGCAAGACCTGGTCACAGGCATAGGCCAAAAAAGTACACCTTTTGCATGTCATCTTGAATTGCTCAGAAAATATGTAATCTTCCATAGGAGTACAGAGAATACGTCTCATCATATTAGTAAGCAAGCATCCTATTTTAGTTATTCCCAAAGATGAAAAAATAGATTTAGTTATTCCTAGGCAATGGCATCATTCTTTCTCAATGAAAGGTGAAAAAAAGCCCTACTCTGCATTGTTATCTATAGAAATCTTTTAATATTTTAAGCTGTTGTTATTTTCTGTCACATAGCAATAGTAAAAAACAAATCACAACAACAAAATAAAATTAGTCCTTGGCAGGACAAATGCCTGTCTTTGTCAGGAAGAGGAAAAAAATAAATTATCTAACAAGATACCTTAGAAGACAGATGAACTTGAAGAAACCCAACAGTACAACAGAGCATCATCCCATGTCTTTCTAAAGATACTTTCAAAGCTGGTTTTGGTGAATCAAAACATCCTACATTAATCATATGAACATGTAATTAACAGAGTAGTAAAAGTTAGAGAAAATCAAGACAAGAGTGAGAAGTTCCAAAAATGTCCCTAATTCCACAGGGGCAGAACTCAGTCAAGATGTCAAGCCTGAGTTTCAGCAAAATCAGAAGTCCTTATGAGCGTGAAAAGAAGCTTAGCCCAGAAAAGAGGGTACTAAACAACATTTTTATTAATATACCCTTTGGATCTCCAACAGAATAAAGTAATTTTTCTGTCAGATAATCAGTATGAAGATGAAGGGGGTTCTACTTTAAAAGTTCACATGGCAGGATTCTTGAACTGCATTTTGGTATTGGGCTTCTTCATCAAGCTGAAGATTCTAAATAAAATGAAAACATCATCAAAATTGGTAAATATTCAAGATAGCATAGTCATTAGTTTAATCATTCATCTGCTATGTTTTTACATAGGAAATGGCACCTAGACAAAGACTCTATGCTACTAGATGATTGTTTATATTGCACAGAATCTTTTATTGTACCAAATACCAAGAGACACATGAGACAGGAGAAGAATAGAAGTATCAGTAGAGTGGGACAAGGATCATTAAGCAGAAGGGTCCATCTTCTCTCCCTGGCTCAACTGCATTACAGAACAGCCAGCTCAGGAAAGCTGTCTGTGTCACGCAATTGTTTTAACAGGGCTTCTAATCAGCCATAACATCCTCCATTAATAAAACCAAAATGGGATCCCCAGACAACAGTAATCATAGACTGTTGAGAATACATTGCCTAAAATGGGAAAGCAAACACAGCACACAAAAAGTCTGCTACTTTTTGCAGGAATATCCTCCAGGTTCTTAATATGCCAGAGTGATGAATTTTTTAAGTGCAATTCTGGCAGTTTCCCCAAATCAGAATTCCTATCACCAGTTTTAGGTCATCATCCATGCACTCATGGTGAAGAGCCAAATCTCTCCTTTCAAACCCTAGCTCTTCAGGCCTTTATCACAGCTCACTCAACTCAAAGGACAAGATACATCATCTTTGCCATTGCCACCCAGTGAGACTGTCTGTGACTCAAATACTATACCTGTTGCACACCAAAGCCTGTCAAACTCTGTAGAAAAAACTACAATCTCTCCAGCTCTCTGATGCCACATGCAGAACCCAAATGTTTGGCTTGACTTACAAATCAGCCACTGACTACATCTGTGTATGTAGTTCTTCATCTACTTATAAGGTCATTTACTCAAAGAAAGCCTGAAAAAGGGCAACCTAAACACTGATTAAGTGAAACATCTCTTTTTCAGTCTCTCTCACTACATACAGGAAGAGTGGCTGCAGCAGCAATACCAGCTAGTCAAGCTGCACATTGAGTCCTGAAAATACAACTTCACAATTTCTGCTTTAAAAGGTCAATAATGTCCATAAAAAGAGTAGCATCTATCTTATTTCCCCTGGATGCAGCAGTAATAAACTGTTCTAATAAACAGAATAAAACCAATAAATAGTTCAGATTGAGAACACTAAGCCAAAGACTGAACTCATCAGCTTGGATCAGTTTGACAACACCTATTCCCAGTAGCACTTCATGTTAACTTCATGATAATGAAGTTTAAGAACAGACAGGTCTGCTTCCGAGTTCCATACAGGACAGGAACATGGCATGTCCAGAGCACATGTCAGGTACAAAATTTTTATTTGGCATTTTGATTTTAGGAAGAGTCACCATTTATTCCTCCACACATCAAAGAAGAAAAAGCTTACCACAAATTCTCCGTAGTCAAATCGGTGTCTTAGATTTAGATGGCTAACAAGATTTCTAGTAACCTGGTTAGTATCTGCCCATGGAAGAGATACACAAATAGGACAGATCTGAATTTGGAGGGGGAAGGGAAGAGACAAAATTAAAAAAAAAAGTTATTGACAACGAAGAATGCATTAAAGACATGTTCTACAGGAATAACTAGTCTATTACTCAACCACTATCAAAATACACTAAGACATTAACATCAAATCATACTGCTAAGTGTGCTTTTCCTTAATTGTGTAACATTCAAAAACTACATTTCAACTTGATCAATTTCTAAAGTGTTTCTCTTGGGAGTGAAAAATTATCATATCTGTCTAAGTTAATTCAGAAAAGAAAGTGACTACAGCATCCTACTTATTGTTTTGAAGATTTTTCATACAATTGAGATGATCAAGTAAGCCAAAAGAAAAAATAACACACCCTATTACAGGTGAACATAATAGAAAACCAAAGAGATTTTTCTCTTGCAGACCCTTTGGTTACGTTGGATTACTTTTCAAGTAACTGTCTGTTTCACACAAAACAGTAGTTACGTTACAAAATGTGATTCTATAGAAACAGACCTGAACTACTAAATAAAGAAGAGTTAAGCATTAGGCTCAAAAACTGAGCCTGTTTCACACCAAGATAAATGAGACAGTTAAGTCAGAAATGCCTTAGAACCAGCAGGCTGGACATGAAACGTTTTCACATCTAAGTCACTCCTCAATTTAAATGCACTGCATGAAGTACATTGTCTGTCTTTTTCAGACCACAGTGATTGTTACAGATATGGAGTAGGGACTGCACAGTTAAAATGCTCCACATAATTACAAAGAAAGTAGCTTAAGAAACATACATAAGCAGCTCTACTTACCACAGGAACGATCTGATAAAGATGTCTATTATTACAGTGATCCAGCAAGCGCTGTCTGGTAAAATTGGCTTCCTGACACAGGGGGCATTTGAAGGTTGGGTGTCCACTGTAAACAGAAATACAAGAGTATCAAACAAAAAAGTTTCAGAAATAGTGTTAAGAAACCATACGAATTAAGCTATCATTGTTTTCCCCGGCTTTGATAACAACAAAAAACCTCCACACCCCCACTGACATATTAGCAGATCTAAGGAGTCCCAGTGCTACTATCACATTGCAATTTGGAAGTACATTTACAATTAGTATGCCTAAATGCACTCTTCTGAGACTTGTGCTTCTTTTGTTCCCACTGCAGCTACACCCTAGTTTTGCTTTCTTGTATCATCTTTTAGTGCAAATCTTTCAAGGAAGTACTAAAATACCCAAATTCTAACAAACAGATACAAGCGTACAAGAAACTACAGGATTCTAGAAATACAGCTCTGGTATTTTTGTGTGGGTTTTTTTGTATTTTCGTTTTTGCATTAGCAGAAGTTTGCACTGTGACTATCAGAATCTATTCTAATAACAGCTATAGACAAGTAAGCAACATACCTTGTTTCTCCTTGACGTATTTGATTATTAGCCATCTCGCCAGTGTCAGATATTGCATCATTCCTGCTACTTTAAATGAAGGAAAAAAAAAAACCAATGGAACTTCAGATTATTTACTCAACTACCAACATTTTAAAAGTTTAATAGTAACAGAGGTGGGGGGAATATGCATTAAGTCCCATGAATTCCAAGGCAACATACAATGGCACATAGCCTAACCCTCACAATTTTCCTTTGTCTCAATATTTACAGAATCACCAAGCCTGAAAGAAACCTTCAAGATCATCTGCCCAAATGTCAACCTAGCACCACCATAACCACCACTAAATTATATTCCCAAGTGCCACATCCAGACACCTCTTGAACACCTCCACAGGCAGTGACACTCCATCACCACCCTGGGGAATTTACTGCAATGCCTGACCACAGTCTCAGTAAAAAAAAAGTTTCTACTATCTAATCTGAACCTCTTCATGTGTAACTTAAATGGTGAGGCCATTTCACCTCGTTCTTTCACTTCAAGACATGGCAGAAGAAAGTCACCCTCACCTCACTACAACCTTCTCTCAGGTAACTGCAGCAAGGAAGTCTTCCCTGATCCTCCTTTTCTCCAAGATAAACAACCCCAGCTCCCTCAGCTGCTCACCATACGACTTGCACTCCAGACCCTTCACCAACTCCATTGCCCTTCTCTGAATTCACTCCATCACCTCAATGTCCTTCCTGGATTCAGAGGCCCAGAACTGAACACAGGATTCAAGGTGTGGCCTGACTGGTGCTGAGTACCAGGGGACAATCACTGCCCCAGTCCTGCTGGCCACACTGTTTCTGATACAGGCCAGGATGCCACTGGTCATCTTGGCCACCTGGGTACACTACAGGACCATAGCTCAGCCTCTGTCAACCAGCACCCTCAGCTCCTTTTCCATTGGGTCGATTTCCAGTTATTCTTCCCCCAGCCTGTGGCACTGCCCGAGGCTGCTGTAAGTGCAGAACCCAGACACCTGGCCTTTTTGAACTTCACACCACTGGCCTCAGCCCATTGATCCAGCCTATCCAGATGCCCATGCAGAGCCTTCCTGCCCTCCAGCAGATCAACACTCCCACCCAACTTGCTGTCATCTGCAAACTCACTGAGGGAGCACTCAATCCCCTCATCTGAATCATCAATAAAGGTGATAAACAGGAGTGGCTCCAAACTGAACCCTGGGAAACACCACTGGCGACCAGGGGCCAACTGGATCCAACTACATTTACCACCTCCCTCTGGGACCTGGCCATCCAGACAATTCTTTTCACCCAGAGCACACTTGTCCAAGCCATAGGCTGCCAGCTTCCCCAAAATAATACAGTGGGATTGTGTCAAATGTGTTCCTGGAGTCTAGATAGACAGCATCCACAGTCACTCCCTTATCTACTATGCCAGTCACTTTGACATAGAAGGAGATGAAGTTGGTCAACCAGCACATGACTTTTGTAAACCCATGTTGGCTGGACCTGATTCCTGGGTAGTCCTGCACATGCCACATGATGGCACTCAGGATTATCTGATCCATGACCTTCCCCCATACACTAAGGTCAGTCTGACATGTCTGTAGTTCCCTGGATCACTCTTGATCCTTCTTGTAGATGGGCATTACATTTGCTAATTTCTAATCAACTGGGATTGGAAAAACCTCTGGATAATTTAATTACCATGGTGATGCTTGGTGGCATACTACACAACTTTACCGGAAAATGGTATATAATACAACAAACATTTAGTCAACAAGATCGGTAATGCAGGTGACAGCCAAGTATTATAAAAGCATTATGAACTATATGACTGTAAGACAGGTAGCACTTTCAAAGTTTTTTTACTTAGGAAGGTGTAAAAGGCCTTTAACTGCCATGTAGTCACACAAATAATTGGCAACTTTTAACTACAACAAGGTACATTTTCTTATGCTGAGCAAAAAATAAACTATTTTTCCTAAAGGAAGACTAAAACAGAAGAACATTTTAGAAAGTAAATTTGACTATATATGCACCTCTTGCTAAGCAAGAAGAAAGTGTACAGACATGCTAAGAATATGAATATTTACAGTCACAAATACAGTAACTGTAAATTATTTTATACTTCTGTGGTATTATAATCACAGGTGTTCTATTGTGGCAAACTGCATAAATACTGATACCGGAATATTTAGACACTTTGGTGAAACATTGCTGCAGCTAATTTCAGTAACAGCTTCAACTTTCAATAGACTGATGGGTTGAAAAATCAAATACAGAGAAGTTCAGACTGCTAAAAATAGAAAATCAATGGCAAAAAAAGGGATATATATAATAAAGCTCTGTGAAATTGACATATAAAAAGCTTTTCAAAAATAACCAAAAATCCCCAACCCCTACCATCAATGAGACTATATGAAAAAAAAATATTAGCTTTACTGCCTAAAAACAAATGGCAAGTGTCATTTGATTTTATGGTGTGTAACATACTGGAATTCCTTATATATTTAATAAGAGATCAGTTCAAAATAAATTCAATCAGAAAGCAAAAGCTTGCACAGTATTGTTTTGAAACAGGATACCCACTAAAATAAACTTCGGAAAGGGGAGGGGGAATAAAAATAGACAGGAACTTCTCCAGAGGTAAATATTATGAAATATGTTACAAAGTAAGCTGCTCAAATGCTGTCGAGGCAAGGAAAGCAAGCTACAAATATTAAATACTTTTTAGGAGAGTCTCTAGAAGACATTTCAAAGCCATCATGCAGAAAGGTTTTCTTCTGTCTGTTAAGAGTAGAGAAAAAGACCCGAAAAATCTCTTATTTTGAAACACAAAATATAGATAATAATAAATTCAAAAAGAAGAAATGCCCTGGAAAAAAATACTTTCCATGGGGGGAGGGGGGTGGGGAAAAAAGATGCACTGTTGCACACAGAACACCCTGATTACCTGTTCCCTGTTGCATCTTGGGAAATCTGTAATTTTGGCATAATTGAAGAAACACCATATTCATCCTGATACTTCTTACACGTTTTATAATGCTGTCTCATCCATGAAAATCTAACCTGAAAATAAAATGCCAAATTACTGAAATCGTACTAAACAATCCAGGGATAGATAGAAGGAAGAGATAATTCTGCCAACAGAAAGCAATGCATGCAGGAATTATTTAGACCTCATGTGCAGCAGAAACCAGAACATGTGTCTCCCTTTTGAGCATGAACACTTTCTTCACCAACAGGACATCTCCAATTCCTCTCTCTCCTTAGAGCCAGCGTCACTCCTGAGACTGGAGAACATTGCCACTCAAACTGCTGGACATCTGAGAGCTTTCTCAAGGATGAAAGATGCAAGTAAACACCATTTAATTGAAACAAAGTCACTGGAACTACACCTCCATATCCAGGATCAATAGGTGATGAGCTAGAACAGAGAGTGGCTGTGAGGATGGGATAAGCACCACTGCTCCTTCAGTCTCCTCTGGCCTGCTGTTACCTCATGCAAAAAACATTTTTTTTTTTTGAATTAGGTGTGTTTACTCACTGGCAGGGGAAGGAAACAAACAGGTGAATTATCACCAACTTAAGGCTGCCTATTGACCTTTAAATCAAATTAAGAGAATGAGTTGCTTAGATTTGTCAGAAGTCAGCTGAGTAGGACATTCCCATGAATTTCAGCTCCAACAGCACTCTCAGAAGGTGCTTACGGGTCTAGAGGCCAAACAAAATCGTATCTTACATGCCTGTGCCTAAATTCCATTAAAGTTATTCTGTTTGGTTCTTCTGTCTAGTTTACCAACTTGCTATCAGTTTCTTCTTCCCCACCTTTTATCTCAATGAATCATATGAACAATGCAAGCAGCTGAGGGCTCCATTAGTGCTGATCTTCACATTGGCAGAAGTCCCAGGTGAAATGAAATCAACATAAAGACTACCTGGATTTAATGCATTTTGTTATAAACAAAAAGTCTGGCTGAAATCCTACATCTGTTTATATCAAAAGAGACATAACTCTTGGTTTCATTGAGGGTCAAGATTTCACCCAGTGTTCCAAAAATAATGATCCCTTTAGAAAGGAAATTAAAGGAACGTAAAAGGACTGATGGGGAAGGAGGAAATTACATGATTGATCATGTGGGCATTGCAACTAATCAACTCACATATTTTAGTTTTAAATTAAATTTCATAGTAGCTCAAAGAAGTTGCATTTCCATACTGAGAGTTTCTGAGGTTTTCTATATATCTGCAATTTTCATGTTCAGCTCCTTAACTTTCCTTTTGTCATTTTTATAGCTGTATCAATTTTTTCCATCTTTTCACAGAAAGCTGGCACTCCACTTAAAATGCCTTTAATGACAATTCAAGATGCTCTTTCAGTTTACACCTGTTAGGTACAGCTAGCAGGCACTGCATGCCCAGTATATGCACAAACCACACAAAGCTAAGTTCAAATTGCTATAGGCTCTTCAGCTCCAAGATGAGAATGACACACAGTAAAGGCGTGTCTGGACAAAAACATGAAAAATTTATTCAACTTTTCTTAAAGTTTTACTCTACCTGCTTCTCACAGCATCTACAGCCCCCAGAAGCTTTCTTCATACTGTTTTCAACATCTAGAGCCCTTTTGGGATACGTTCTTTCTTTTTTAGTCACGCTCCCTCGGCAGAGAGGACAATGTGTTCCACTTTCTCTTATAGCTGTCAAGAAGCACTTCCTGCAAAACCTAAATTGAAAAGTTACCACAAACACAGGTTAGCAAAACATACAGTTAGATACTTCGTCCTTAAAGAGAGCTGGACGATTGTTAGGGAAAAAAAAAAAAAAAAAAAGTATCAGAGTAATAGTTTACCGAATACAAAGTTTGACTTCCTAAAGAAACATGAAATAATGGTGCTTATGATGAAGTATATGGAAATCAGGGGAGCTTGGCAATGCACTCTAGATAAAACTCGCTTTATTTATTGACTGGTATTACCGAGCTGCATACCAGATTGATCACTAATGAGATATTAAATGGTGCAGCAAGCACGTGATTTTGGACAATCTTATCAGCATAACTCCTGTTTTTTGTCCTTAAGCAGAGCCAAAACCACTGCAAAGCTTCATTCAGCACGCGTTTCCAGAGACCTCAGGTCACCAGCTTTTGCAGCTCTCCTTCCTTACGCACCAGCTGCCAAAGCTATTTTGCTTTTCTACAAAGTAGTACGTTGTAATCAAACGTCCCTGGAAAAAAAAAATGCTGAATAGATGAACTGAAAAGAGAGAACGACTCACACTACCGTCCTTGTTCGAAAAGGAACGGGGAAAACCATGAAGTTAAAAACCGCGAGTTAGCTCAGACAGCACAGCAAAACTCCCCCACCGCCGACCAGCCACCCGGGGATGTGGGGGGGGGCGCTTCTCTAAATGACCGGTCCTCGTCGGCTACAAAAGAAAGAGGCGAGGGGAGGCTGGAGCAGCACTGGGCTCGTATCCTCACCGCCAGCGTCTCCAGGCCGAGGGTCCGTGCGCCGGGAGCGGGGGGGAGCTGAGGAGCACAAGGCGGAGAGCCGGAGGAGGCGAGCAAAAGGCTTGGGAAGGGGCGGGGGTCGGGATACCCACACGTGCTGGCAGTTGGCGGTCCTCACGGGCGTTTTGAACACCTCCTGGCACACCGGGCAGTAAAAATCATCCTCGCTGAAGCACGCCGGGGCCGCCGCGGCCCCCTCGGCCATGGCAACACGTAAGGGCCTCTCCGCCACGATCGGGGACGACGAACAAGCCCCGCCCTGGCGGGCTGAGGAGAGCCCGGCCCCGCTTCGCTCCCGGGGGGCGCTGCCGGGGCCGGAGAGCGGATGGCCGGGGGCAGCGGCGCCGGGTGGGAGCCGGGCCGGGCCGCGGCGGGGCAGCGGAACCGGCCGGGCCCGCGCTCCGCCCGCCGCCCCTCGCGGCTCCGCCCGGGCAGCCCCCGCCCCGCGCTCTACCTGGCGCCGCCCGGGGAGGAAGAACCCGCCGGCTCCGGCCGCGCTCCCGGCGGCACCCGGGGGGGCGGGGCCGGGGTTTCCATGGCGATCGCCTCCCGGCCCGCCGGGGCTGCTACGACACAGCCCCGCTCCGCCCTGCCCGGGAGGCTTCCCCGCTCCGCCCGCCCCGCCCCGCCGCCCCGCCGCCCTTCCGCCGGGCGGGCGCTCGGGCCTGCGCGGGCAGCGCTCCGCGGTGGGTTGTTTCTGGGTGGAATCGTCCCGGGCCCCGTGCTCCGCACCCCTCGGGCCGCGCCTCGAGCCCCGTGTTCAGTTCTGGGCCTCTCAATCCTGGAAGGACATTGAGGTGCTGGAGCGAGCCCAGAGAAGGGCAGCAGAGCTGGTGAGGGCTCTGGAGCACCAGTGAGGGGCGGCTGAGGAAACTGGGATTGTTTATCGTGGAGAAAAGGAGGCTCCTTATCGCTCTCCATATGAAAGGAGGGTGTAGCCAGAGGTGGAGATGGCCTCTTCTCCCGATTAACGAGTGACTGGGACTAGAGGAATTAGCCTCCAGCTATGCCAGAGGAGGTTTAGGTTACACATCAGGAGGAATTTCTTCAGAGTGATTAAACATTGGAATGGGTTTCCCAGGGAGGTGATGGATCAGCATTCCTGGGGATGTTTAAGAAAAGATGATGGCACTTGGTGCTGTGCTATAGCTGACTTGGTGGTGTTCGGTCACAGGTTGGATTTCATGATCTCTAACCTGACTGATGCTGGAATTCTGTGACTGGGACTAGCGGTGATTTTATGGAGTAGTTTTAGTGGTATTATTGAGAGTTGGGGCGCGTTTTCAGCCTCCTGAATGATCCTGACAAAAAAAAAAATTAAAAAATCTTAATTTAGTGGTATGACTGTGTTTTTCTTCTAGAGAAGAACTTTAAAGAATATCTATCCAGCTGTATACTGATGCCAACACACTTCTCCAGGTAGAGAGGACTTTGGACCTATTAAGCACATCTAGAACTGACCTCATCTGGACATAACTCTTGGCATATAAACATTTTCAACCTAAAATGTTGAAAATGCTTTAAAAGAAACAGATTTGTAGGGAGTATATCAACCATATTAATTTGTGACACTTATAATCTTAACATTCAGATTGGGCCTGGTCTTTTTTTGCTCGGAGATCATAGAATGGTTTGGGTTGGAAGGGACCGTAAAGATAATCTAGTTCCATATGCTCTGCCCTGGGCAGGGACACCTTTCACTAGTCCAGGTTGGTCAGAGCTCCATCCAAACATGGACTTGAACTCTTCCAGGAATGGAGCATCCACAACTTTTCTGGGTAACCTGTTCCAGGGCCAGGACTGAGAGAAAATGGACTCTTCATCTTGGTTTCCCCTGTGTCCTTGACTGCAGCTGTCTGTACTGTAGTTAGATGTTCAGAGGAGATCTGTAGGTGAGGAGCTCTCGCTCTCTCTCTCTGGCCTTCCAGGAAAGAGAGAGTGCAAAACATTAAGAGCTGTGGTTCACATATGCTTTCAGACTCCAGCATTTCAAAACTGACTGAAAACCTAAATGCTTTAGACATCCATCAGAGCTGGTTCTTGTGGCTGCTAGTGATCAGCAGCAAGAGGCAATGCCCATGACACCATCTGGGCTCATGGTTTGGAGGGGAGAGGGCCCTGCAGGGAGTGAAGCTGAAGCTAAGGTCTCCAGGTGAAGATGAACCATCCTGTGATTCTGTGTTCTTGTTCAGTATCTGTCACAATGACTAATAGCTATTAATGTTAGTAATTTCCTAAGAGAGAGCAGAGACAGCACAACAAAAGCCAATCACTGCACTGAATAACTTCCTTTTAGACCACATGGAGACAAAATTTGCATGGCTCTAAGTACCAAGGAAAGTACCTTCTCAAAGGAAGCACTTCCAAAGCCTTTGGCCCAAAGTGAAATAAGTTGCTTGGGCTGGGATATTTGCTGCCCATGCTTCAGGTTGTGAGAAAATCTGGTGGAAAAGGCAGAGCTCCTTGGGCAGGGATCTCCCAGGGGAAGACAGGCCTGGGATTTGAGATGCTATGGCAAGTTTGTCTTCTGTTAATCATGGCTGTGCTAGCTCAGAACATTATTGCTATCCTGCTCTCATCCCTGCTTCTGAGGGTTATCTGGGCTGTTTATAGGCTGGCAAAACCTCCTACTGTTTAAAGTGATTGATTATCATCTATGGAATGGAGCAGGAAGCCAGATCAATCTGAGTGGGTGACTAGCAGCAGTTGATGGCAGCAACCTCATCAGCACTGCAGAGACAGCCAGAAGACACAGAGCTACACCTTAAGTGCTAAGTAACTTGCAGAGTGCTTCTGGTATGTTCTTGTGTCAGTGAGGATGACACCACAGCCGTATATCAGCTTCAGGGACACCCTAGCCAGGGTGTGACAGTAGATGAAAAGGAGGAACTACAGAATCCTCAGTTCAGATGCCACACAACTACCATTGAAGGCAGCATGGCCTTCAGTCTCAGCACATGGGAGGCCAGCAGAGATGGGCTTCCAAGTCTTTTACTCTTCTTGTATGACTTCTGTAAAACACACCTTTATGCCTCAGTTTGTCAATCTTTAAAAAGGGTGCAGGTTTTAATCACCAAATAAGGCTGTTAGGAAGTTTAATTACTGCAGGTAAAGAAGGTTATGTCTTTTGAAGGTAGGTACTAAACAAAAGCTAAGATTTATTACTAAAGCAACATGATAGATCCATTTGAACTTTCTTCAGGAGACTGCAGTATTTATTGATTAGTGGCTTTGGCACGGGGAGAAATTGTGCAGGTGACTTCAGGGAAGTAAACTACAGGAACGTGTCTGTGAAGGCATTCATGCTCTTGTTAACATTATTGTAAATCTTGATCCTTTAATAAAGCTGTGACCTTGGAGCTGACAACTGGTGTGCCATGGAGCAATATAGAGCAAGGCACCAGCCTTGTAAATCTTACGTAGTTTTTGCCATTCACATAAACAACATGTAAAGAGAAATCAGGCAGCTGAAGTTTATGAAACACATTTATTTGAAGGAGAGCATTTTAAATCAGACTTTTTAGTTGAAATGAAACCAATGGCCCTTCCAACTTTTATTCCTTGTGATAAAATGTGTTTGTGAAATAAAATCTCAACAGTGAGAACTTTTAAACCTGCTTGTAAACTACTGTTTGCAGGGGTAAACTGCCACTCAAAAACACATTTTAGATCACCTTTGCACAACTATTGTACAACTTTGTAGAAATACTTTCTGTACAACTATTATTCTGTTCCTTTCTTGACAATGCTGGTGCAAGAACAGCGCATCTACGTGCCAATATGAAAAATGCAGAGATTTGTTCTGTGGGAACAGTCAAAGATGGATGTGAGCAGAAGGGGAAAGAGACAAAGCTGTGTAACTGCAGAGAGGTCAAAAGGTGCCATGAGCAAGGGGAAGGATGTCATTTTTGCTCTTGCCAGGTGTATCTGCAAACACTGGAAGCCACAGACAAAACTAAGGACAACACAGCTTATTTCATACATGTAAAAAGTTTTTCAGATGTTCAGGAAGCCATAAATCAAATAACTTTTTCCCTATGTTTTAGGCTACTTTGCTCTGACAGACTAGATGTTTTTTTGGTTAGACGGATCTTCCCGCCATATCAAGCAACACTGCAACACCTTTGGAGCAACACTGTCCATCTTTCTGACTGAGGAGTTTTCTTTTGCAAGGGCAGTTCTCAAAGAAAAGGAAAGTAACTTTCCCAGACATGTGAGACACTGAACCTTTCTTTTCCTAAAAAGGAGCCACTTTCTGATTCCAAAACATTAAGTGTAGAGGGCAGTTTCCTTGTTAGTATGTTACCATGTGAGTAAAGCTGCTCTAATCACTGTATATGCTTCAATAATGAACATCAATTTCAATTTTTTACAGATCAAGTGCATCTTTGAAAGATACTATGTTTTACTGTAATGTAAAAAATTGTCATCCTTTTTTAAATGTACACAGTAAAAATAGAGGTTAGTTAAAAGATTCCATTCTCTTGAACATTGTTCAATTTTTTCTTACTTTAAATAGAATATTCACTTTCTGCTATCCTTTCAAAACAACTTTCATTTAACCAGCTTTGCTTATTTTAAGTGTCATCTTCTGCTGTAAATGGAAACTTAAGTGCAGCCCTTGGCAATAGGTAGTACCTCCAATGCTGTTTTGAGGGGGGATTTGTTCCAATTTGTTTGGTCCTGTTGCATCTGAAATGCTGCTGTTTGTCATCTTCCTCCAGCATTGCGTTATTATCCTCAAGACACACAAGATTGGCCTGCTCCTGGAATGGAGGTGCAGACAAATAGGCTGCTGTAAAAGCCAGTGTGCCTGTATCCTGTACACATTAAAGCATTAACTCATATAAAGGTGCAGACTGTACAGACTCTGTGTGAATGTTTCCTTTCATTTACTTGGGGTCCTCTCTCATATGATCATGGTTAAAGTGGTGAAAACTAAGCTGCAGTGTTAAAGGGAACAGAATGTATTCCCCCATCCCACCCACTGTGAGAAATGGGAGTGCTGGTTGATCTGTCTACAGGTGCTTGAATCTGTAACCTCTCTAAAACACCTCTTCTCTGTCTGTGAGAGTCAGAGTCTAAAATGCCATGGCAAATAATGACCAGAGAAGTAAATTATATTTATCAAGATCCAAGTCTACACCCTGTTGACCTCAAACCTACAAATGGAGTCAGTAAGACCTCACAGCCTCCCTCCATGGACCTTCAGAATGAAGTCATTTATGTGAAATTATCAAAACTTAGAAAAAAAAAGTTAACCCTCCCACCATGACAGACTCATATATAAGACCACATAAGCAGTTTTCAAATTATAACTTCAAAACCCAGACAAGAATACGCAAGAAATGCTACACAAATCTGAGTTAGGGCAGTAGAAATAGCACATGCTGTATTTAAAATCAGGCAAGTCACTGAACAA